GTCATACGAGTAGTCATCAATCTACAGACGGTGTCAGCTTAATATGTCATGTGATAATCGTTAATGCCAGTATGTAGAAAGATACAAACTTGTACATTTATTTAATTTGCTGTAGGCAATACACTGGGATGCATTTAGAGTCTGTGTTTCTGTCATAATTGTCTGTAGTTCATTAATCATCATTGATAACAGCACAATGAGTCTGCATTGTGAAGTGTCAATGCTCACCTCTGTTTTGTTTCTTCGCAGGGACGACATGTCAAGACTGGACAGCTGGCTGCCATCAAGGTCATGGACGTCACCGAGGTAAGAGCCGAACTACGTATTGTTTCACCTTTGACATCGCGATATGAGTGTGTGCAGCTGTCATTCCGCAAGACATGAGGAATACTATTTCACCATAAAACATTGTGCTTGTTCTCGATGAATTCCATTCAATACACTTTAGTCACATTTTGGTTTCTGGTACATCTGTGCGTCGGCAGACATAAGTCGTATCTGATGTTTCAGAGGATTGATTTTTCTTTTTGTTCACCCATGACATTATAAATAGTTCCAGATCGATTTATCAGTTGTCATCAGCCGCCCAAAATCTATATCAGCCGGGCTCAGTATTAAGTACTGGTATTTGCACAAGAAAAAGGTGAAGTATTCAAATGTGAAAACTGGAAGGTCAATGGAAAAATTCACCTTGGATATAATTGAGTCTTTTATTATTCTCTTATTTGTTTAATATCAAAATCTCCATAAACATTTCATGAGATCCGACATCTTAATGCATTTGTGATCACAGAGAAGAAAATGTTCCGCTCCTTAATGAGCCCCTACCCCCATAATAAACAGCAGGGGAAGGGCAGAGGCAACAGGATGCTATTGAGTGAAGTGCGTCATTTAGTGGCCAGCAAGCTGCCCTCAGTTGTGGGAGGTCTTGTCTGCAGATGGGAGAATGCCCACAACCACACATCCACATATGCAGAGACACAAAGCAGAGGGATTCAGAGGAGCAGTAAAGGCCAGCAGGGCCAGCCACCCACACGGCCATGATAATGATGGAGGAATATGGGCGTGATCATTCTGTGCATGCACAATGACAGGCCTGAGTTCTGGTGCCTGGTGAACACACTCCACTTAGGGCTTGGAGCTGAATCTGAAGTCATCAGCTGGATGTATCACCACCGTTATTGGGAAACATTTTCCCAGTGCACCCCTGACACGGTGATGATCTTGAGCCTGACGGAGGCGAATGACGCAGGAGCAGGCAGCCGGTGTGTCCCAACTTGCCTGCTGTCACTCCTTAAAGAAGCCTGTCATGATGAGTCAGAGTTATAAACGTATCTCATTTGTTATCATGTTTAACCAGTAAAGAGAATATTGCCCAACTGTTTCACATTGTGTGAGTTGAACTAGGTGTGCCTGTCGTGTGCCAGACATGTAGGTACTTTTCTAGGCAATATTGAACAATGGAAAGCGTTACATAAAGCAGGTTCTTATGCTCTTATGGGGCATAAGAGAAACCTGTTTTTGTTTGTTGTGAGAACGTGCTGTCAGTTACGGGAGGTCATTGTCGTAGGAGGCGTCCTCCATCACCCTCCTCAAAACACTGAGTGTACGTTTAATGCTGCTTTTCCTTAAACATGCCACCAATATGTATGTATGTTGAGGGAGCACACCTGAGGACAGAGCTTGGCTGTATTTAGTAGAACCCACTGACATTCAGTTGGCCAATATGAGCCTGGATTCCTGAGCGAGTTGGGCTGGGTGCGGGCATAAATATTTTTAAAAGGATATTCAGGTTCAGGTTGGGTTTGGTCAAGTTGGCTGGGCAATCTACTTAATTCTTTTACGCTGCTGCACATGTCTGTAATCGTGGAAAACATTGGGGCTGGGGTCAGGTTCTGACACAAAAAACAGAACGGTTGTGGGGGTTCAGGTCACAATTGGTTTATTGTCTCTCTGGCCGATGTTAAAACAATACAGATGAGATGTTGTTACGTAAAACATTTACTTTCTTAATTCAAGTTCTATATATTTTTTCAAAGCCAGGCTGCAGTACTAATTACTGCATAATTACATATCACAAGCTGATACCAGGCGTGGGCCTTTTAAAGATTAACTCATGTTACTAAAGTTCCCAGACAGCGATCGTAACACGTCATCTTGCAACTAATCCAGACTTTTATTAGATGCATGTGTCACTGATTCATTGTGTATTATTGTCTTCACCATTGAAGTGATACAACTCACCTCACACAGTCAGTGTGACTACCATTTCATTTGTAGTTTCCTTGTATGTGTTTTGAGAGTGTAAACTGAATCAAGAGCTGAATCAATAAACACATTTACAGTTATAGCTCATCAGTTATATCTTATAATTTATTATCTGATGATCACTGTATTTTCAGTGATGCCAAGTTGTCCTCTCTTCCCCGATGTGGCTCTAGAGCTCATCCACAGGCATGCATGCTTGTCCAGTGCGACTCTGACCCACATTCTCAAATCCAAACACTCATCCACTCCTCATCTCCGCCGCCATACAGGCCCGAAGCTAAAAATGCCTTTCCACCATGAGGCTCTGTGTTGTTATATATTAAAATAATATTGTAATCCTGTGGTATAGAGTCGACTGGGTGATTTGTGCAGATAGAGGCCTGTGTATCTGCTGTGCAGTACTTTTTGACAAACTGGTGAATTTGTTTTAATTTTGTTTTAATTTGTTCTGGTGTTGATGCTGGTCAAGACACAAAGCAGAATTTTTCAAATGATCAACCCAGAAAATCCCCCAAAACCTAATTTTCTAGCATTATTTTATTTTCTTGAGTCATCCATTAAGATTACTTCTGATCTCGTAAAACAGATTAATAGAACTTGTGTGTACGGTCGACATATTGTTTTTCCCTCATATCCTCTCCGCTGCCAAATGACCAAAGCTCCACTTCTCCTCGTCTCTCTCGCTCTCTTTCTCTCTGACACACATCCCCATATGATTGTGTCTCTCTCTCCCTCACCATGTGACTTGTGGCAGCGAGGCTTTCTCAGTCGGGAGTGTGATAATCCAACAGCTGCACAGCAGAGAGGGGGGTGGATGGGAGAGGGAGGGCCTGGAGTAGGGGGTGCACGCACAACAGAAAGGCTTACGTCAACTCAAACGAGTCGTGCAGCAGCAGTATGGCCGCCTGCATAGACGACCAACTGCCATTTTGCTGTAGGTGATGCAAAGCACGCTAAACAATGTGGTAATGATATACACACATTTTCTTCTTCATTTCTCTTTATTTAGGTGATGTCCAGCCTGGTGATTAATTACTAAATAAAATAAAATATCATATTTCTACAGTGATAATACTGTACGGCCACCCCCACCTTTTGGTCTCCGCCCCCCTCCTTCCACTGGACTTACTATAGGAGAGGTCATGAAAAGCAAACCACTTGCGAGTTGATCCCTGCATGTGTTCAATTAGCGTGCCACTGTTAATCATTGTCAAGTTGCTATTGGTTGCGAGCAGGGAGTTGGCGCTGCACCCAGTTATGACCTTTTGCCCAAGCTGGACACGTTTGCTCTGTTACATTTCCAACAGACACTGAATGCAGCATGAAAGCTTCATCTGTCAGTTGATCAACCTTTTGTATTTACCCTAGAAAAATGTATTTCCCTATTGAATTTTGTATCTATAGGGCCTTTTGTTTGATTATAATCAGTTTTTAATTTCATTATGAAAGATATCTATTTACTCTCTTATTTATCTTCTTTAACATGATCCTTCACATCATATTCATGGTATTTATTTATTTTTTCGTGTGTCGAGGCAGAATTCTTTGCTTTCTTTGCAGCCTGACACAAGAGTATATCTGTAGGGGGATTTGCCATCGATCTAATGTATATATAGTGTTTCTAGGGATTAACAACAATGGCTTCTGGCTACTGCACACATCAACTCACTATGAAACTCACTGATGCATCATTAATCCCCAAACAAAGGAATCATTTGCCAGTAAATGAACGACTCATAATGCATTGTCACACAGTCCGAGGCATTAATAAGGTCTGGCCTGGCTGGACTGAGCAGCACCAGGACATTGTCACATCGCTTGACACTTGCTTTGTCCCAAACAATCGGAAGTGTTTTGATTTGGATGTGAAATGATGACTAAAAAAAGCTAGATGATCCCACACAGTCATTATTGTGTTGCATGATAAAGATTTTCCAGAGCAAAAGACAGATGTCTTCTTTTTATTTTAACTTTGTGTTTTTTTTTTGTGTTGCTAGGATGAAGAGGAGGAAATTAAACTGGAGATCAATATGCTGAAGAAGTATTCCCACCACAGAAACATAGCTACCTACTATGGCGCTTTCATTAAGAAGAGCCCCCCAGGACACGACGACCAGCTATGGGTAAGTCCTTTAAATCCAGACAAGAATTAAGTTAAAGTAAGAAGTACGCAAGGAAGAAAACACATAGCAGCCATGGTTACATTCTGTGATGTTTTCTGTTCTTCCTTTTCCTCTCATATTTTCTAATTTTGTTTTCTATCGTTGTGTAGCTGGTGATGGAGTTCTGTGGAGCTGGTTCCATTACAGACCTGGTGAAGAACACCAAGGGGAACCAACTGAAGGAAGACTGGATCGCTTACATCTCCAGAGAGATCCTCAGAGTCAGTTGTCCTTCTCCTCTCAATCTCGTCTTTTCTCATCCTCCTCTCCTCTCATTCATTTCCTGTGTCTCTCTTCTCCTCAGGGTCTGGCCCACCTTCACGCCCACCACGTCATCCACCGTGACATCAAGGGCCAGAATGTCTTGCTGACTGAGAATGCGGAAGTCAAACTAGGTGAGAGCGGCTCAGATCACTGTTGATCAGTTGTTGTGCTGCTGAATTTACACTCTTTGAGCCGTCCTAGATAAAAGCAGAAAGTCTTGAGAGAAATGTGGATAAATCTTTTATAGCGTGAGACAAGATTTGTGCCGTTTGATTTACAGAACCTGAAAAATTTCTGAACTGAGCATTAGAGCATGAATTTAGAGCACAATGCTGATGGTGGTTACTCTCGTGTCTCCAGTGGACTTTGGTGTGAGTGCTCAGCTGGATCGGACCGTGGGCAGGAGGAACACCTTCATCGGGACTCCTTATTGGATGGCCCCCGAGGTCATCGCTTGTGACGAAAACCCAGACGCTACATACGATTACAGAGTAAGAGCCTCCACAGCGGTATCAAGCTGATGAATCTAGATATTGTGTATTTGTGTAACGCAGGCGTATTGGACCTGTGAATGTCTTGATTTGTCTGAGTATCTGTGGCGTCTTCTCTTGCAGAGTGATCTGTGGTCCTGTGGTATCACAGCTATTGAAATGGCTGAAGGAGCACCACGTGAGTATCAGCTTTTATTACTATCAGAGTTTATATCCTGTTTCGGTCTGTTAAATTCTCACTGTTGCATCTGTGCTTCTTCTTTCAGCACTTTGTGACATGCATCCTATGCGTGCGCTCTTCCTCATTCCCAGAAACCCTCCTCCCAGGCTCAAATCTAAAAAATGGTGAGTACCACCCAGGAAGGACGTTTTGAGTATTTCCACCTTTTCTATCCTTCTTGTTACCATAATACATTCTTACAAATCGAGTTAGTTCTGGCCTATTTAGATTTGTATCTCTGACCTGAGATCAGGCAGCTACAGAGGCTACAGAATCCTGAGCTCGGCCTTTCCTCTGTGCTTTGCTGCTGAGCTGAACATCTGTGATACACTTGCTCTGGCAGACTCGACCTCTCCTGGCACACACAGTACAGTGCAGCTCTGGGTGGATGCACTGCAGTGGAAAAAATCTAACTCTTCAGAGCTCGAGGGCTTCGATGACTTTGGTCTTATTTTGAAGTGTTTCTTCATAAAACTGAACATAATATAAAACCTGTTATCAACCTTAATTTATATTAAGAAACCAGAGGCTGTTGTCACTATTGTTAAGACTGATGTGCAATTAAGTATTTTGATTTAATATTCCTGGATGTGCTCTGTCCCTGTGCGGCTGACATTGTTTTAATTCACCCCTGTTAAATTATCATTCTTGTCCATTAACTCCTCCCTCTCCTCTCTCTTCTACAATCCCTACAGGTCCAAGAAGTTTTTCAGTTTCATCGAGGGCTGCCTGGTGAAGAACTACACGCAGCGCCCGCCGACGGAGCAGCTGCTCAAGCACCCCTTCATCCGAGACCAGCCCAATGAGAGGCAGGTCCGCATACAACTCAAAGACCACATCGACCGGACCAAGAAGAAGAGGGGAGAGAAAGGTGCGTCTGGCTCTTTGTTTCTAATCATTACTTCTTTTCCCCTCAGTTTTTGCTGAGTTTACAGCTGTGGTGAGTTTCTCTGAGTGACTTCTTCATTTTACCGAGTACAGATGAGACCGAGTATGAGTACAGTGGCAGCGAGGAGGAGGAAGAGGACCCCCCAGAGCAGGAGGGAGAACCCAGGTGTGATCAAGTTGTCACAGCGCTTCCTAAAAACAGCATAACCACTTTTCAGGGGACATTTTCAATGGAACCTGGTCTAATCAAAACCTTTTGTCCCACTTCCTCCCGTCATCCAGCTCCATTGTCAATGTGCCAGGTGAGTCAACTCTGCGCCGCGACTTCATCCGCCTGCAGCAGGAGAACAAAGAGCGGTCAGAGGTGCTTCGCCGTCAGCAGCTCCTCCAGGAGCAGCAGCTCCGTGAGCAGGAGGAGTACAAGCGCCAGCTATTGGCCGAGAGGCAGAAACGCATTGAGCAGCAGAAGGAGCAGAGGAGGCGGCTGGAGGAGGTTGGTCGCAGATAGATGAGGCCGATCCTGACAAACAAAAAACACCAGATTGACAACTTAAAAAAACAATAAAACTCTTGTGTAACCCGCAGCAACAACGACGCGAACGGGAGATGAGGAGGCAACAGGAGCGTGAGCAGCGTCGCCGGGAGCAAGAGGACAAGAGGCGTGTTGAAGAGATGGATCGTAGACGCAAAGAAGAAGAGGAGCGCCGGCGGGCCGAGGACGAGAAGAGAAGGAACGATCGTGAACAGGTCAGTTTTGAAATATCTTTACTTAGAATATCAAAAAAAAAAGAAAACGTATATAATATCTTTACCTGTGAAAACATACCAGTAACTCCACTGACTACTTTGCTTCTGACAGGAGTACATCAGGCGCCAGCTGGAGGAGGAGCAGAGGCACCTGGAGATGCTGCAGGAGCAGCTGCTCCGTGAACAGGCCATGCTGCTGGTCAGTCACACATTTACACCTCTTATCATTTACACCACACTAACGCTGTATTGTCCCCTTTGTCATGCTGTTTGATATTTATCACGCTAGCTGCTATTTGGACAGTAGTTATGCTAAAACAAGTCTATTACACGGATTATCAATGAAGCTGATCCTGAGGAAAACATCAACAGTCATCACAAAAGGCTACAACTAATTTTTGTTTTGCATTTGTCTGTTTTTTTGGAGTCATCTTGTTAAATGAAATCAGTTACACAAACTTGTGTGAGAGAAAATGTTATGTTCTTCCATTGTATACATTTCTAAAGTGCATCTTCTGTTTGTAATCACATTTTGCTTTGTTTTTTGTGAAGCGTGTCGAAGCAATTATTTCCTTCTTGAGTGGAACTTGACATTTTGATTTCCATTGAGGTTATTCTAAATGATGTAATGACATAGCATCTATAAGCACAGCACACATAAGAAGTGAGTGTTACTGAGGAGTAAAATGGTTTAATGTGGTGCTGTCTGTAAACAGAATGGTTTAAAAGGTGGCACTCGCACCACTTTTTAGTCAGACTACATTTATTAAGCCAACGCTGCCATCTCTTCTCACCACATTGAACACACTCTGCAATAGGAGTTCAAGTGGCGAGAGCTGGAGGAGCAGCGAAAGGCCGAGCGACTCCACAAGCGCCTGCAGCAGGAGCAAGCCTACCTGCTGTCGCTCCAGCACGAGTCCAAACAGCAGCCTGGCGACAAGACCAAACTCTCCTCAGACCATAGCAAACCCCCACAGACCTCCACCCTGCCCCCCGACAGAGTCCTCACCACAGTCCCTCAAGCTCAGGTCCTCGATAGTGCTCTTACTGTAGCGAGAGGCGCCCCAGAGTCCCCCAGAGCCCCTCAGGCGGTCCCCTCAGACAGCGTTAAACCCCAGGCAGCAGCACCAGAAAAGACTGACAATGCTGAGACGCGTCCCGACCCGCACCCAAACCCCCCAAGCCCCAGCCTCTCTCAGACTGAACCCCCAGCTGACTCCCAACCACGTGAGGCAGAAAGTTCGGAGCCTGATAGGCCTGCCCAGCCTGTCAGTCATCCTCCGCAGCCTGTCAGAGAGGTGAACCTCCTCCTCGGCTCTGCCTCCCCGCTGCCTGCTCTTTCCAGCTTCCTCTTGCTTGTCTTCACTCAGTCTCAGTGAACGCGATGGAGGTGGTGCGAGCACCAAATAATGTCTTTCTTTATCCCAAACCGTCACCGTCTGCCAGTCCATTTTTAAATGAAACAAGTGGGGGGCGTGGTGGAGAACGGGGGAAACCACAGGCTCGCAACCACCAGCAACCAGCGTCTTTATGTCCTGAATAAACCCGAGCTGTTCTCCTCCACTCTTCTCTTGGCACTCGCGCTCACTTGCACTGTCGCTCGACTCCTTGACTACTAAAACCATGACGATGTTGGAAATGTTTTCATCTTACTTTTCACTTTGAGCCGGCTAAGCAAGGGAAAGAGAAATAATGGATTTGTAAACAAGATTCCAGTCTTTCTTCCATGTTCTTAAGATAATTTTCTAATAATTTATTTATCATTTCCCTCCATAAAAATAAAGATGATTCCATAGGATTTTATTATTTTCTTTTTTCCATAACTTCACCTTTTCATTTGTCATTTGAGTCCTTCTCAAAGCAATACAGAACAACAAGCGTTGGGAATTTCTCTTAATCTTGGACGCAGACCCGTAAACTTCTTTCATGTGGTTGTTTACACTCTGAATGTGTGTGTGGATCGGGGCCATTGCATGTGGATGGCTGAGGCCCAAACACTAACATGCAGGACACCCCAAGCAGCATCTCCCGTCACCAGCTGTTCCGTGTCATTAACAATGATCTTTCCTTCCCATTTATTATTCAAATTCAAAGGTGTATTTTGCAGAAAGCGTACCGTCTCCACCTCTTGTCTGTCCACACATAACTGTGTCTGTACAGCTTCAAGCATGTGTAATACCATTGTCACCAAATGTCTTTATTGTTTATTAGAAATGAAGGTTTCTGATTGCGACAGGATTCCCAAGCAACCTCAATATTAGAAAATATAAAGCGGTTGGAACCATTTTATTCCAAAAAGAAAACTTTTAATGAAGCTTGGAATTTGTGGCAATGCACGCATTGCATCGTATTATTTTTAACCTTCTAAAGTGGTTCCTTTCTCTTTGATTTTCTCTCTTCTTAATTTGGTCGCTGAAATAGTTGTCCTGATCCTCATCCCATCTTTGTCCTGTACGATTCCCCCCCATCCCAGGCCGACGAGCGGTACCGTAAGAACATTCAGGGCTCCCCTCAGACTGCCCCTCCTCCCAAGCAGCCCCCTCTGCCTCCCCGCTCCTCTGAACCGTTCTCCAATGGCGGCTCCTCCTCCGAGGCCTCTGCCATGCACCGGCCCATGGAGCCCCAGGTAAATCCTTCCTTCTTGCTTTTCCTACTTCTCCTCTTCCTCTGTTTCTCTGGTTCCTCTCCCTGATCCTGGCAGCTGAGTTAGACCTCACATTATCTTCCCTTTGTGCTGAAACAGTTGCCAGCATAGTAAGATTTGTTAATTAAGGACATATCACGATAATATACAAATGGAATATAGTTTGTAATTTTTGCGTTTGGTCGAAGCGATCAGCTTTCTTATTTTCTTTAGCGGTTTGAAGTTGAAATATCAGAGATCCTCTTACTGCTCTTTCACTTGTGACAGTTCATCATCTACTATACTTTTCTTACCATTGACCTTTTTCTTTCACTTTACAAGTGCAACACATTCTTGAAGGACCAGTTTGAATCTATGAACTATTCATTTCCCTCAATGTGTTCCACCTCGTTTCCTCTCATCACGGACTGTGGGCGACTACAGCCTGCTCAAACACGATTGGTCAAACGAACCAGAAAGAAACCAGAAGGCTTCCGGCGCCTAAAACCCTCTCCTACAGAATCTGTATATTCACATACTGAATCTGTTTTAGAGATGAACTAATCGATGGATGATTTAGTTTCTGCTTTTATGCCACTAACTTCCTACCAAAGCATAAGTCAAAATTGGAACCTAAATAACTTTTACTTTACCAACAACACAACATTGTCTCTAAACATACATCCAAGGATAGATCCATGTTGTTTGTAATCCATAAAAACACCCAAAGTGTAAAAACCATGTTAATTAAATCAACTTTCAAAAATGTTGAGCTATTCCTTTTACTAATAAAAAGGATATAATAATAAATAGTATTTTCATTAATCAGAGAATCTGAGTGAAACACATCATCGTGTCGTTTGTGCTTGGTCTGTATGCATGCGTATGCAGTATATCTAAGCACCTGTATGTGAAAAGCCACACACATCTTCCCTCATGTCTCACTGTTGTCTGCTTGTTCCACCTCCCCTCCTCCTCCTCCTCCTCCCCCTCCCCCTCCCTGTCCTTCCCCTCTTGTTCCCCCTCCTCCCCTCCCTGACTCCCTAAAAGGTCCAGTGGTCCCACCTGGCTGCTCTAAAAAGCAGCAACAGCGCAGCCCCCTCTCCTCCGCCCGTGGTCTCTCGCTCCCAGTCCTTCAGCGAGCCCGGCGGCGTGACCTCTAGCTTTGCACAACTTCACCTGCGCTCCCAGGACCCCCACCATCACCGCCACCACCCACCATCGCACGCACGCACTGACCCCCAGCCCCAACCTCCCCTCCACCTCCCCCAGGCCCAGACTAGGGCAGAGCACCAGGCCAGCAGCGAGGAGGTGCCTCCCAAGGTAAGGAGTCGATAATGGCCTCCCCGCTCCTGACCTTGACTCTTCCCTCGCTCAGTCACCTCCTCTCATTTCAGTCACTTCACCATGACCTGTGTGTTTGTGCTCATTCTCATTTGTTGCACATCAACATAAAACACATCTACTATGAGTCGTTTTAAAATGAAAAAGCTTCTCGGCCCTGTAATAACTTTAAAAGGTAAAATTCTGAACTCTGCATCAAAAGTGCAGAAGCTATGATACACAGTACCCACCACATTCCTGCACCTACATTTGTAGTGGTTCTCATGTTGAAGAGGTTCTGCTATCACTGATAGCTCCTATCAGGTTTATCTGATTATCTGATGTGTTGTCGTACATGTTGAATTTCAGATCTTCTGTAATTCAGCGGTTATGCTCATGTCTGTAGCTGCCACTGTGTGTGAAGACGTCTGAATCTGTCTCCTCCAGGTACCAGTGAGGACAACATCCAGGTCTCCTGTTCTGTCACGCCGAGAGTCTCCTTTACCATCACAGCCTGGCAACCAGGGCGGGCAGAGGAACGCTGGCAGGTATGTAAAGAGACCTCGCAATCATTTAGATTGTGCAATTGTTTATGAACTTTTTAAGGCAGTTACAGATGTTTGAAATAATTATTGGAACATCACTCCTGGCACAATAACACAGGTGGATGGAAGTTAACGTTAAACCTAAAGCTGTCAGATATGCAATTATACCTACAGAGAAAAGATACAATAGATGTAAATCGGCTCCACCTCCAATCATTTTGCTTTTATGTGTTCACTCACTTTGAATGATATTACTGATTTGTTGTTGCACTTGTTAATGAGACTTTGTTCCCTGTGACAGTAACGTGGAGCAGCGGCCGCTGTGGGACCGGGTGGAGAAGCTGCAGCCTCGACCGGGCAGCGGCAGCTCCTCCGGTTCCTCCAACTCCAGCTCTCAGGCCAGCTCTGGGGACCGCTTCAGGCCACGCTGTGAGTCCCCTGGTACTGTACACGGCCATGTTTCACTGACTCTACTAACTGCTCATTAGTTGATTATGACTATTACTGTAATGCGATGGTTCCAATACAGGCAACTGAAGATTGTTTCAGAGCCAGCTCTTATGTTTCCCCTCGCTAACTCCACTTCCCTTTCCTCTCTTAGCTTCCTCCAAGTCCGAAGGGTCTCCTCTCCAGCGACCCGAAAATGTTCCCAAGAAACAAGATGAAAAGAACCTCGGCAGACCCACTCGACCAGCTGTAAGTCCCCCGCTACCAGAGTACTGGTTACAATCCTTTGGTGCTGAATGTGAAAACCACTTGTGTTTTATCTCTATTTTCTATCACTCTAATTATACAACCACCCGATGTGTGCAACATCACATGAATCCAATGGTTCGCGATTGTTGGGGAACCTCTTAGGGTGATGTGGTAAGCCTGTTAAAAGAGATTACATTATCACTCCGATGCTATGCTTGCACCATTGCCCCACTCATTGCTTTATAAACAGAAGTATTTTGATAAAAGAAGTTTTTCTCCTTTGTGAGGATTAATACAATAATTCTGTCCCTGGTTACCGTCCCCTCTGCCTGTGATGCCTCATGCCTGCACAGTGCATTGCCTGTCATCGACAAAACGCACAATGGCACTGGAAGGGTTAAACTGAGCCTAGATTTGAATGCGGGCATATTTGAATGCAACCACACTCCTCCTGTTTCTTTGTACTTGTCAGAATGAGTTCTGATCTCACCTGGGACGTATCCCTGCCTGTGTTGCTTGTCACTGACTGTGCAAGTGAAAACAAGCTGAGGACAGCATGGGCAACGAGTGACGCTAATTTTTATACTTGACCCTAATTAATGACACTTAACTCGCTGTATTGATCCACTTGGACTTAATGGCGTCTTATCCCAGGTCCAAGGTTTCATGCCGGCCATTATTTTTCATTGCACTCTAAATTTCACAATTGGGGCTAAATTGCTCTTCTGTAGAATTGGAAGTTCTTGGGCTAAAAAATATGCAATGCTAAAACACTTAAGTAGGAAAATACTACACGTACCTGGAAATCGGAGACTGAAGGAACATCTAATTTGAATGGAAAGAAATATATATGAAGTAATAAAGGATGACTTCAAGGTTCCTGTTATGCAGTTTTAACAAAATATCACATTTTTAATTTTTCTAAGACTTCATTGCTGTTGCTTTCAGGACCTGACTGCTCTGGCCAAGGAGCTCCGTGCGGTAGACGACGTGGGGCCTCCCCACAAGGTCACCGACTACTCCTCCTCAAGCGAGGATTCAGGCACCACTGATGAGGACGACGACGAGGAGGTAGACCAGGAGGCTGGAGAGGAGTCCACCTCCGGAACCGAGGACTCCAGAGCTGGGTAGGCAGAAGTGCAATGATGATGCTGTTATTTATTTGTCCAACAGTCTCTGTTCTCCGTTGCGTTCATGTTTACTGTGCAAAGTGTTGCATGGCTTCGCTGCATGGCTGTTAACACTGGTCTGGTTACGGACGTCAGATATTCCTATGGCTTCTGCAGGAGAGTGAGCAACGGGGAGACGGAGTCCGCTAAGACCATGCTGGTTGAAGACTCCGAGAGCGACCAAGCAATTACGCCCTCCAAGGACGGCACCCTGGTCATCAGACAGGTACGAGGAAAAGACAGAATTCTGACTTACTGAGACGGCAAGTTATTGTACTTGCATATTTGTAGAATTGTCATTTTCCTTTTTCTTTCACCAAGTGTCATCGTCGAGTCATTCTCCATCATTTATCCTTTGACATTTAGTTTTAAATTTGTCGATGCAGCGTGCACAGCAGTGGTGGTCTGCAGAGATGAATTTACAGAATATGTTGTGTGTAATGTCTGGATACGTTGAGTAGACGATAGTACGAAGCAGCAGACTAAGCAGTCGACACACCACCTCCTTCTCTTCACCTGCTTGCTCAAGCCCACAGTGTGCCTGTTCTTGCTTCCAGAGCACCGCTGACATAAAGCGGTCGGTCAATCTCTCATCCTCCTCTTCCTCCTCTCCCTCGGCTGGCTCTGGTCATGGCCACGGCCAGCCCCCCATCCACGGGCCACCAGAGAAAAACGGCTTTGCCGGCCGCATACACCACCTGCCAGATCTTATCCAGCAGAGCCATCACCCCACTTCCTCCTCCACAACCATCCCTTCCTCCTCCTCCTCCTCCTCTTCTTCGTCCTCCTCCTTCCCCTCATCATCTAGCCATGCCAGTCCTGCCATGTCCCCACAGAACCCCCTGGACAAGTACACTGCCATAGAGGTATGTTGCCCCCACA